GCAGTGTACAGGTCCTCAATGGAGGGCAGGTTGACAATAATCATTTTTTCTGCAGTTCTGATTATCCTTTAAAGTCTGTGTCTGTCTTGTTGAGTTGTAGAGGCTAGAATACATACATACATACATACATACATACATACATACATACATACATACATACATACATACAACAGTTTTTTCAAATGTACACTGAAGGGTATTATAAGCATTGAGGAACAAAAGCTATATTATATAAAAATCTATTATGATGTTTATAGCATGAATCAATGAAATATGGCAAACAGCAAGTGTTTCTTGCTAATAAGCAGTCAAAAAGAGCTATGCTAGAGCCATCACAAAAATAATTTCCAAAATGCTAACTGGAGTATTAGAAAGGCAAACATCACTCTCCTTAACAAAAATGTCTCTCTTTACAATATCCACAAACAAATTATTATCAAACACCAAAAACCTTTGTCAGAAGGTCATCATAACCCGGATCCAGATGAAAATGAAAGTCAAACTATAAAACACATCATGTTCTCAGGAAATTATGTTTTCCCCATTCCTAATTGTTTGAAATGTCAAAGAAAAGCTATTTTAAAATTGAGGCTTTAAGCTGCGTCACTCAAGCTGACCCTAGCAAAAGCAAGTGTTCTTTATTTACAATTTGATAAACAAGTAGGAAATTATTGGTAGGCAGAAATGAAACTGTTGTGAATCGCAGTAAAAAATCTGTTATAATTTAGTGTGTCTGGACTTGCTGTTGTTGTTAGTCACAAAGTCTTGTTCGACCCATTGTGACCCTATGGACAACGTTCTTCCAAGCTTTACTGTCCTCTTCCAAGCCTTACTGTCCTCTACCATCCCTAGAGTCACTTTAAGCTCATGCCGACTCCTTCAGTGACTCCATCCAACACCCTCATTCTCTGTTGTCCCCTTCTTCTTTTGCCATCAATCTTTCCCAGCATTAGGCTCTTCTCTAGTGAGTCCTTCCTTCCCATTAAGTGGCCAAACTATTTGAGTTTCAACTTCAGGATCTGGCCTTTTAAAGAGCAGTCAAGGTTTATCTCCTCTACAACTAACTGGTTTGATCANGGCCCCCTCTCTGCCTCGGACACAGAGCCCTCATCAGAGCCTTCCCCAGACTCCAGGACTGGCCCATCTTCCTCCCCAACCTCCTCACTGTCTGAGTCTGCTGCCAGCTCTGCTGGCCTCAGGCGGGCCACAACAACTCCCTGCCAGCTTCAGGAATGTGCTTGAAGAACTGACTGTTGTCCTCGTCAGCCATTGTTTACTGGAGACCCGACCCCTGGGCAGATCCAGGCATTAAGATCCCTGCTGCAGTTGAAATCAATCAACACCCAGCCCGCTTAAGGACAGGGAAGCAAGGTTGTATTTCCCCACTGTCTGGCCTTTGAGCAATGTTTGTTTCCCTCTGATTCCCATTCCAGGAAGGAGCAAATATCAACAAGTCCCTCACCACACTGGGGAAGGTGATTTCGGCCTTGGCGGAAGTGGTAAGTCCAGATTTTTTGGAGCTCCTTAAAAAAGAGGGTTGCTCATTGGGGCTTAGTCCCAGGTGAGACGTGAAAGGGACATTTGTTTCCAGGAGTTGTGGGTATGGGTGTGTGTGAGAGAGAGAGAAAGAGAGGGAGAGAGAGAGAAAGAGAGTATCATATTAACAGATTTAGGTTTTATCTCGGTGATGGCTAACCTTTTTGTCATTGCATGCCAAAATAATGCAATGTCCTTGCGACACAAACATCCCTGTGCGTTCCCCCTCTTGCTCATTCGCATGAGACCCCCCCTGCGCTTCTCCTCCCTGCGCATATGCATGTGACCCCCACTCCTAGTAGTCCTCCCTGAAGCTTCCTGGGAGCAAAAACGGGCTGCAGGGGAGAAGCACTTCCCCCCACATTCACCCTGCCCTCCGTGCATGAGTGCGACCCCTGCGCATATGTGTGTGTCCCCCTGTGCCTGCGCATGCACCTCCCGCCTGCTTCACTTCCAAACTCAAAGTCACAAGAGTGATCAATGCATGGATGGTGCAGCCTAGCAGCTCAACCCAGATCTACTACTCTACTACAGGTAGCCCTCGACTTACAGTTGTTTGTATTACCCCCCTCCCCTGGGTTTGTTAGCCGCCCTGAGTCCCTCCGGGAATAGGGCGGCATATAAATGAAATAAACCTAACCTAACCTAATAGTCATTCTTATAGTGCAAGGGTCACCAACCCCCAGGCCACAGCCTATTCGGAACTGGGCCCTATGCGTGGCAGGCCAATGTGCCCATGTGTGGGTGCAGCTCGATATGTGTGAGCAGTGGGTTAGGGTACATGCACATGCGTGCCCAGCTCAACTTGCACATGCCCTTCGGGAACTCCCCCTTTCCCGGGGATGGCCTTCTTGCCTATCAAGACGCTTCCTTAATGATGGATCTTGGGATCCCGAAAGGTGGCATGCGAAGAAGAGACTTCTTAGGGGTTTCTTACAGGGGTTTTTTAATCAAATTTTAAGGCGGGGGTGGGTGGGTGGGTTGATCCGGATGTCTCATACAGGCTTGTGGGGGGAGTCTGCCAGGGCACAGGCCAGAGCTAACTAATGGATACCAGATCAGGAGTGCTGGGAAGGGTTGGGATTCCGGGGGAGACATTAAGCCATTCCATTGGGGGGGGGGGGTTCCATCTCTACTGTTTGTGGGAGAGGCAGATATGGTGGGGGCCGAGGGCCAAATTATGTTCAGGGGATGCGGGTTCGCTGCTTAAGAGCGATCACGTGTTCTGACCCTCATCACCCTTCTCGCATCCCCGGGTGCTCGGGATTACAGACCCTGATCTCCGGCTGGTGTCGCTTAACGCCAGGTCCGTGGTACACAACGCTCCCCTCATTTATGACTTCATACAAGAAGGTAGAGCAGACCTGGTGTGCATTATGGAGACCTGGTTGGGCCATGAGGGGGGTGTTCCCCTTAGTGAATTATGCCCACCAGGCTTCTGGGTGTTTCACCAGCCGAGAGCCCAGGGTAGGGGCGGGGATGGTTGTGGTGGTAGTTATTATGGAAAGTCTCGGACCTCAGGAGGTCACTGTGCCTCAGATAGGTGGGTGTGAGTCCCTTTTTGTGAAATGGG